CCATCAGCCAAGCTTACCGTGGTGTGGTTTGGATTCAATAGCTAATTAGTTCTATGCTGGTAGCAAAGAGTTCATATGGAGATGATTTTTAATACCCAGCAGATTGTCTTTCTTTATATTGTATCTTTTTTATGTTGCATGTTGCTTTTGGTATCAGCCTGACTCTTTGCCCAGTATATGATAGTTCTGCTCATGTTTTATTGTTTATTGGTGAACATATCCTCATTAAGAGTTTTTTGAAAACTCATCAAACTCAAATGAATAAGTTTTCTTCATAACCCATTTGGAATTATTCCTAATAAAATGATAAAATATATATTTGTGTGTGTTCTTTTTGAGTTTTAAAGATGTTTGACATGGATTTTCTTATTTAGTAAAGTTGATTTATATACTTTACACTGTGAATAATAATACAGATCCCAGTGAAATTTATTAATTGTTTAAAATGAAAATAAAGTTTGGGTTGCTATCGTGTGTATGACAGAGTGGGGAAGCAACTTTTAAAATTTAGTTTTATTTGATAAAATACCATTTTTGACACTGTACATTTCTAAAAACAGATCAAGAATAAAAAGCTATAAAATGAACTGGCCAAAAAGCATGTATGCATGTGCTTGCTTTACGGCTAAGGTTAGTTAAAAAAATTTAAGTGCTGTTTCATGGCAGAATACATAGACTATCAGTGATGTTGCTTTTCTACATAGAAGAAAAAAGTTCACAGCACTTCTGCTTCACGAATTTCGGAACTGCAGAGAGATTACATGTGACTGAGTTGTTGTTTATAAGGCAATAAAGGTATATACCTCATTAACTACATCTATTAAGTTATTAGGGACTCCACTTGGTAACCTTATGAATAACTTAGTTTTTGTCTATCGCCTACATTTCTTTGTATTTTATAAACCTTGATTTTTTGTGATTGTTAATGGCTTGCATAGATTTTGGTAAATTTGTGGATTGAAATTTTATTTTCAAAACCAAGCACATGCTTGTAAAATAATGTATAGTTTTGAATAGTTAACAACAACAACAAAAAGTACTGGTTCAACTGAAAAGAAATTGGAATTAAGTAGTTGATTGTCAAACAGGTTACTGGGATAAAGCGTGTATTTAACCTGTCACTTTGATGTAAGTGCAACTTTCCTAGCCCACCGGATGAGTTTTCTCTTCTCTCCAAATAGAAAAGGTATCATTTCTTGTTGGTTAAAACTAAGATCTAATATAGTATGTGTAGCTTTATGGGGTTCAAGAGATTAAACTTCAGTAGGTTCAGTGTAGGATCACAGTTAAATTACCACTGTATTAATTTTAAAATTAAGCCAAGTAAGTCAAAGAAGGGAGTAAAGAAAATTCATACAATGTTAATTGTGTTGTAAAGGGGTTCTACTATCACTGTTGGAAATGACTGCATTAAGTAACTAAAATTGCTTAATTTTCACGAAATGGGTTTTAAAAAAAGATTAGGAAGACTTCCCTTCCCCTGCCCCCCCCCCCCCTTTTTTTTTTTTTTTTAAAGAAAGCATTAACTTGCTATGTTTTTTACCCCCCAAAATTTTACTTCATCCCTAATCAAGGTCAGGTGTTTTTTTTTTAGTTTTTTTAATCAAATTGAGAAATTGTTTTTCTTTCCCAAATAGGAGTAAACTTGGAAAAATGAATAAATTAAGAGATAATACCTAAATGCTTTCCCCTATGTTTATTGCAGTAAATGCAAGCAAAATCACTATCACTGTCCTAATTAGTTGACATATGCAGTATTTTTAAAAAATATATGTTTTTATTGATTCAGAGAGAGAAACATAAGTGATGAGAGAGAATCATTGGTCTACTGCTCCTGCACACCCCCTACTGAGTGAGGATCAAGCCTGCAATCTGGGCATGTGCCCTTGACTGGAATTGACCTTGGAACCCTTCAGTCTGAAGGCTGGTGCTATACCCACGGGGAAAAACCAGCCAGGGCCATATGCAGTACTTTTTATAAAATACACTATCAAGATTCAGTGCTTGCCCTGACCAGTTTGGCTCAGTGGATAGAGCGTCGGCCTGTGGATTCAAGGCCCCAGGTTCAATTGCGGTCAAGGGCATGTACCTTGGTTGCCGGCACATCCCCAGTAGAGGGTGTGCAGGAGGCAGCTGATCGATGCTTCTCTCTCATCGATATTTCTAACTATCCCTCTCCCTTCTTCTCTGTAAAAAATCAATAAAATATATTAAAAAAAAAGATTCAATGCTTGCCTGGCTGATGTTGTTCAATGGTTAGATTCTAGGGTTTGTTCTCCAGTGATTTACATTCAAGGGCATGTGCCCAGGGTTGCAGGTTTGATTCACCCGCCCTGTTAGGGGCAAGTGTGGGAGGCAACAAATCAGTGTCTCTCTTACATTGATGTTTTTCTCTCTCCTTTCCCGACTTCGTCTTTCTAAAAATCAATGGAAAAAATATCCTCAGGTAAGGATTAACAACAACAAAAAGATTTAATGCTTACTGTTCACACAATGTTAAACTTAGTATTGGTCAATCAATAAGAGGTCTCTGTGACCTCTATTATACATAGAACAATTGATTATATTTCTAGATTTAAAAAGTATTCTGGCAAATAAGTATGTTAATAGAGAAACTGAAGAGGAATTGTTCTTTTAAAGGCTGACTAGCAGCATCAGAGTTGATAGAACCATTATCTGTTTTCTCTCCAATAAGCTTTTTTTAAATAAAAGTCCATAATATCCCCCATTGTCTATTGTCTAACCACTTAGTTGCTTTTCTGTGATGTAGTATCTTGATATTTTATAGCATA